GGCGGGCGCATGCGCGGGCCCGTCACTGGCACGCAGGTGAGAGGGCAGAGGGTCCGGGGCGGCGGAGAATGTAGCGTTTTCCGCGCCGGGGAGTGTCGTTGTCTCCCTGTTTGCGGAAGGAAGGAACTTGGCCTCCTCGCAGCTCGCCTCCCTGGGAGGTGGGTCCTTTCCGAAGTTCAGACCAGACCTGGAGGGTGCGAAACGGGCCTGATCCAGGCTGGAAGCGCGGTGCTTCAGCCTCCGGGCGAGCGTCGCGTGCCGCAGCCGGTTTGGTTGGCGGCGGGTGGCTTTTCTGGGAAGGCTGTGGTGGGGGTCAGCCCGTGAGCGTAAGCAGGCAGGAGTGACTGACGCTGTCTTTCGTCTTCGCTGAAAACCGTGAAGTTATATTTAAAGCCTCAGACGACCTCGGCTCTCCCGCTGCCCTCGGGGCTGGCCACGGGCTGGCAGGGGACGGCTTAGTGGTGTTCAGTCAGGCCTGAGAACTAGCTGGTGAGAAAGGTGATTTACCTTCGAGCTGTGGGGAAATGCACCGGGACGATCTCATTGAGGACACTCACAAGATAAAAAATAGTTCAGATACATGAAAGGAAGTGGGGCCAGAGATCTGGTGATTTACATCTGTGTCAGTGAGATGGGTGTTAACTGCACCTTTGGTTCTCTGGGGGGTTCCCTTCTGCTATCGTGTGGAGTGCTGCAGGCAGAGAGGAAATTAAAGCTGAGTTCTGGTCATGTGTGGTTTCGTCAAGGTAAATGTGTATGCATTATTCTATGCAATATGAAGAATTTTCCATCAATACATTCTATAAAGTGCTGAGCTTTTGTCTTGTATTGCAACACCCTGCATGTCACCATATATATGATATGTTGATCGTATGTCAGTTTTCTTGCACAAGTTGAATGTTGTGCAGGCTCTTCATACTTGTATAGTAAGTGAAGAGTATTTGAGGTCTGACTAATGTTTGTAAATCTTACCACTTTGTTACGTGGAAGGTATGTGTATACGCTTCCTTCTTGAATGAAGCCTACAGTGAAATCTCAGATGCAGAAATCAGGTTGTTTCTTAAAGTCATATTTGGAAACAAAAGAAGATGAGATAATAATGAGTGCTGCTCTGATTTTGTTTTTGTTTTTTTTTTTCTAGGAAGACTTTTTTTAGGTAATGTAAGCATTTGAGTTACACATGAGAGAGGAATCAGGCATGTCAGCTCTTTGTCCACCACCATCTCCTGCAGTTGCTAAAACAGAGATCTCTTTGAATGGTGACTCACCTTTATTAGCTGCCACTTTTGCTTACTGGGACAACATTCTTGGCCCCCGAGTGCGGCATATCTGGGCCCCAAAGACTGAACAGGTACTTCTCAGTGATGGTGAAATAACTTTTCTTGCTAACCACACCCTGAATGGAGAAATACTTCGGAATGCAGAAAGTGGTGCAATAGATGTGAAGTTCTTCGTCTTGGCAGAAAAAAGGGTAATCATTGTGTCATTAATCTTCGATGGAAACTGGAATGGAGACAGAAGCACATATGGACTATCAATTATACTTCCACAAAGTGAACTTGGCTTCTACCTGCCTCTTCACAGAGTGTGCGTGGATAGGTTAACACATATTATAAGGAAAGGAAGAATATGGATGCATAAGGTAGGTTTATTATTCGTTGCAGTTGTCCAAGTTGTCTTGAGCAAAAGCAAGAATTAAGATTCTGTGACACCTGTTATGTAGCAGTTCAGACACAGAAACTCAGAGGAGGCTGACCTCTTTACAAGTATACAGTTTTGAAGGTTAAAAGTTATCAGTATGTCAGAAAATTCAAAACTGGGGTTTTCAGCCATGTGATTTATGCTAGTAATATTATATAACCTGTACCAGGCTATCTAGGTGAAATAGATAACCTGTACAGTTTTTCATCTCTGTGAATTGGATATAGATTGTTGCTTCTAGCTGTGTTAATTAGTGTATTTAAACTAGGTAGAATTGTAAATTTACTGTGTTTCAAATCATTGTTTTTGCTGTTGAGGTCCAGAAAGGGAACTGATGCAATTAATATTGTAATTATTTTTCAAAAAAAGGGCATCAATGAACGGTTTGGCAAATGTTAAATTGTGTAAAACTAATGGGAGAACCACGAAAATACATCTACCTTAGTCCAAATATTTCTACTTTTGAAATTCAAAAAGGAAAACATGCTAAATTTTTCTGAAGAATTGCAGTTCTTACCTTGGGGTACATTATGAACATTTCCTTATTAAGTGACAATTGTTATGTATTTTTATTTAAAATAAATAACATTCTAATAATAAAAATTAAAATCTCTGTTTTCTTCATGGAGTACAACTTGCCTTAGAGCAGCAGATTACGCACCAACTGTAATGTGTATGGTGATGCGTGTCTGAAAGTTTTTGTTCCTCTTCGGTTTTGAGACCTCTAGTCAACATACTTGAGACTTCCTTTTTGAGTGCTCTTATCTGAACTAATTAAGATTCCAGAAATAATAAGCTGATGTTAATTTTTGTGGTGGTGTTTCCTTTTTACTACATGAACAAACTCCATTGATTTTTGCTGTATTACCTGATGATGTCTGGCAGTGTTTTCCATCACATTGGCTCTTGATATGTCTGGGCTTTATTTTTCAGAGGAAGGATAGAACATAATGTTAATTTTCAATATAGTAGAAACCCAAATACTACATTCCTCATCTAGTGTTCTGAAAGCCTGCTAGATGTTAGTGCTTTTGACATAAGTGATTGGTCTCTCATGTTCTTGGTTACCGTGCTTCTCTGTCATTTAGTGTCCCCTGTACCAACTTCTAATGTGAGTGGTCAAATAAGAATTGTCCATCATTCTTAACTGTAGTATGTCTTCTCTCTTTTTGGACACTGATCCATATCGGTATGTTTCCACAGTAGAAATAGCCTTCAAGTGGCATTGAGAACGAACAAAAAAATGTTTTCTACTAGTTTCGTCAGATATTAGTCATTAAGTTCTTCATTCTTTTTCAGATGTTTTTGAAGCAGATAGGTCAACTGTGTTAGCTGAGACAGTGATACATTCTGAAATAGATATTTATTGTCTTTCCATTTTTTTGTTTTGGTTTGGTTTTTGGTGGAAAATCAAAGATCCCTACATATATCTGCAGTTCTGCAGCCTTGCCTAGAAGAGAGAAAACTGTTTTGAAAATTTAGATCAAAATATAGGCATGAGTTGTAGAATGATAATATTGAATTAAAACAGGCTCATTTTGTAGTTTGCATTTTGAGGCAGTTCAGCAATTATGGCTACAACAGAACAAAAAGTATTGAAGTCATATCTGAAAGGAGCTCTGTATCTGTTCTGCAATTTCTAGTGGTTGTGTTTATTAGCTCTCATGAGATCTGTGTAAAGCTGGATAACAGTTCCAGCTAGACTTTAGAAAAGAAGAAACCTGAACTCAAGGACTGGGAGAAACATGGAACAGTGTTCAGACTGGCAAAGAAAGACAAGGAACTCCAAGCAAATTGTCTATATGGAATTAGAAACCCCTTTTATCTACTTCAATTTTCCGTTCCAGATGTTTGTCTAATCATTTTGAGCAGGTACATTTCTAAAAAGAAGCGGCTTACACCATTTGTTCAGCCTTACCTTCATGAAGACTGGCTTGCAAAGGATCTTCATTGTCAAATATGTCTTACTTGACTGACACTGAACTCAAGGATGGAGGTGCCCCTAAGGAATCTGCCACATTCTAGTATTGTTTTTCACAGATGCTTCTTTCAGGTGTTAGACAAGTTTTATTACTGTTTTAGTAGTAAACATAAATAAAATTACATCTGCAGCTTGTTCCCTGTTCATCTGGTCAAAAAAGTTACACTCTTTTCCCACTTGAAGTTGATCAACTTTGAGTAGTTCAGTAACAGGAAACTAGTGAGTAGCCAACAAAAATACAATAACCTGTCAGCATCTAGCAAAAGATATTGTTAGTTCTCGCAGCGTCTTCCATTTTTTACATATTGTATTGATTGTTCCAGTGATTAATGCTGAATTGTCTTTGTGAGAATAACTTGATTCCATTGTAAGTTGCGTTTTGCATGCAGTTTGCTACTCAGCTGCTGGTGGGTCTGTTTTGAGAACTTTGTCCAGGCTCTTGTACATGTCGTTTTGTGAATTTTGAGGTTTCGTGTCTCCTATACCTGGTTATAAAACAATGTTTTGAAGACTTGTCAGTGTCTCAAGATGTGGAAAAAAAATGAAGTCCTGTTTTTCCTACCCTCCCCAAACAATTACTGTTTTCTCATTCTGGAGATCTCATTTTTCTCTTGCTGCATGAGGAGCCATCAGTCTGTACCTTATCCATTTGAAAGTAAAAATCCATACATAAAAGTGGAATTCTGCATCATAGTCTGATCATTTGGCATTTTCTTGATCTGTAACGAAGAAACTTAGATGTTTTGTCTTTGTCATCACACTCTCCCTTTCCTGCTACTCCTGCCCAAGCATGTGAGAGGTTTGGTGGGGGGCAGAGCAGGGAGCATTGATCTGTTTAAAATGACATCAATTCCCACTAATGTCAACTCTGTAAAAGAAAAAGGACTTGAGCTTCGAAATTCGAATCTAAGAAGTGTGACTCCACAGGGAAGAAACTGTACCATTTGACTGTTGTGTACATACATATATAAACAAATACCAGAACGTTTATATTTAACTGCTTCTCTTGCTCAGGAGAGGCAAGAACATTTCCAGAAGATTGTCTTGGAAGGCACGGAGAGAATGGAGGATCAGGTAAGGGCTGTCTGGTTGATGCATACGGCACGCCATCACAAAACTATTTGACTGCATCTGGTGACTATAGAAGTTGGTGCTGCTTCTTATTTTTGGGATCCAGGAAGATACTTTGGACTGGCTGATGACCTGCCACGCACAGGAGGCAAAGTTTTTGAAGACAGGATGATGGAAGTTGTGAACAAGTTGAAGGAAAATATATTTCATCACTTTATGTGTAAAGTGGAAATCTATGAAGAATATTACCTTTCAGAAAAGGAAAGTCATTTACTTGAACTTGAAGCTCTGTAAAGGTAGTAGCTTCCATAGATTAATGCTCACCTCCTGTCAAAGATGGTTTTTCACTAGGTCATTACCTTTTCGAATTACAGAGATGTATGGAGTCTGTCATGTTGGATTGTGTTGGAGACCTAATGGATAAGACTGTGAAAAGCATTTGATTTCTGAAACTGTAAATATGAAATTATGGCTTCAGTTTCTTGTGTTAGATAAGTAATTTTGTATCTTGAATAACTAATACACCTGATTTTGGTTTCTGTCATTGTTAAAACATCAGACTTGGATCTAAAATGCTTAACTGTAATTGCATATAATATGGTGTGATCAAATTATCTCACTCCCAAGTACTTCTTGTCTAGGCCAATCAAACTGATTGTGAAAATTAGCATAGGAACCTGGCAATACACTTTAGACACGATGTTCAGAAGCAAAATGTATGTTTCCAGTTTGTAATTATTGATGAGCAAAGCCCAGGAAGCCTGTGCATCAGTTTCTACTCATACCACGCTTCCAAACAATAGGAAGTTAAAGACATTTTGCATGTAATATTGCAAGTTCATCTTAGTAAAAACTTCCAGTACTGCACAATGTGCTTTTACTTCAAGCATTTTATTTATTTTGCAGGGCCAGAGCATCATTCCGATGCTGACAGGAGAAGTCATTCCTGTAATGGAACTCCTTGCATCTATGAAATCTCATGGTGTTCCGGAAGAAATAGATGTAAGGCCTTGTGTTCTTTGCATTCTGAATTAAAAAAGTGGCTTTGACACTCTGGTTTGATACTTTCTTTGGTAGACAAAACCTCACAGTTGCCATAAATTCTTGTACGCTTCAGTTTTTTCACATCAAGTTCTCCTAAGTGGTGTAGGGAGTGTTTTAGTTTGGTAAAGATAACAGTACTAGCAGTGTTTTTTATGGTCACCATTTAGCAAAATTGATTTTGTAGGATGATACCATTTTTTAAAAGAGGGGATTGGAAAGGCTATTTGGTGCAAAACAGAATGAATGGAGACGTAAACGTTTTTAATGTTGATACTTGTTTCAGCATGGTTTAATGTTCTCATGGAAGAAGTAGAAATGATATCAAATGCACTAATTTAAAGTATTCAGGACAAGGTTATACAAAAAACCACTAGGAGAAATGTCACTTGTGTCTGGTGAAGAACATTTAATAATTAAGTGTCTTTCTCATTTTCAAAATGCTTTGGCTGAAGTCAGAAGGTCTTTTTAAGGTTGTGCTTTTTTGGGCAGTCTTCCAACTTAGCTTAAATACTTCCCAAACAGTTCCCACCTATCATTAAAGACAAAAATCAATTAATTGGAAGGTGTTGCAGATCCTTTTCTAACTTCATTTATATTTGCTTACATTTCAGATAAGTGACACAGTGCTAAATGATGATGACATTGGTGATAGTTGCCATGAAGGCTTTCTCCTCAAGTATGAATTTCAGTTTTGATTTATGCTGTAGAAAAATGGTTTAAACTTGTGTGTGCATCTCCTTCCCTCTCTCTTCCTCTTTCTCTCCCCCGCCGCCCCCCCTCCCGCCTCTGTATGTGTGTGTGAACATGTATTAGATTAGTTTTCTTTACAGGAGGGTGAAGGATGACAAGTATTTGGCTTTTTAAGATTTTTGTTTATAAAATGCTGTAGAAGTTGCTGTCTTTTTAGAAGAATGGTTCTGGGCTAATAGCTGCATCTCTATAAACTATGTTGTCACTGAGTCATTTGCTTGATAATAGAATTCCTATCAAACACATTTTTTTCTTTGATACTTATATTTAATTTTATGAGGATATGAGTTAAAGTCTTACATTTTTATGAAATACCAAAAAAACTGGGTTGTAAACCTGGGTTGTATTTACTGCATGAACTATGAATAGGAGTCATTAATGGTGTGGCATATAGAACGCTTTTTATTAAATTGTATATTTCTCTTTTTTCTCCATTTTTAATGTCTAAGTGGAAGTAGTTGCGCTTGAGAGCAACTTGGTCTCTTCCTGTGGGAAAGCATATTTCGTAGATTTTAACTGATACTCTGTTACCTTTCAGAACATCTCCAATGTAACTGCATTCATTTATGTACTGCTTAGTGGCATCTATTTACACAGCATCACATACACTTTCAGCACTACAGAAAATCTTGTGTTAAGTTAACTAATCCTTCACAATAATGTAGTATTTAGTTCCGTAGAGAACTGGGGAAATAATGAAGTGGATATCATGGAATGGACTATTGTAAACAACTAGAGCTGTTGATCCTACGAGGATGAGCTATTTTCATACCATATGGAGATTCATGGGACAGGTAGTAGACTGCAGAGTGTCAGTTATCTCTTATTGCTACTTCTTCTCCCTGGAAATTTTGTCCTGAGAAGAAAAGAGTAACTTGGCCATTTGTGTGAAGGGCCCAAATGTCTGCTTTTTAGCTTATCTGCAAAGCTTATCAGCTCATCTAGGTTCCAGTTTTAAGTCTTAAATACAGTGTTGCATGGATTTACACATGTCATTGAATAAAAATTGGATTAAACTAAATAAACTGCCATCAACAATACCAAGCTCTAAAATAAGCAGTTATGCTTTCTTAGTAACTTCTAAATGAAACTGAACATCTATTTCTGCTCCAAAGGAAGAATTCATAAGTATTCAAATGACCTTAAATTTAATGCTTAGAATATACTTGGTAAGATAAATAGTAGCAGATCCACTATGGAGTCTGTCTCTAGGATTGCAGAGTCTGCGTGTAGCTATTATAGTCCTTATCAATTAGAAGTGTTTGTTAGAACTGATTAATTACATACAATGCATCCTTCAGTAAGACAGCATAAATGTTATTTTGTATATTCATACATATTGGAGAAAAAGTTTTAATAGTACGTAGACTTTCTAGGGTATCTAGATGTTTTGAAGCTGTAGGCTCGATGTTGGTTTAAGAAAGTTCAGGGGGAAAGGGAGGATGAGGATTAGAAACCTCAACAGACGTTTCTTAAGGACAAGTTAAGAGTTGTCAAGGTTAGTCCAAGTATATTTACTACAGCCTCCAAACAAACTAAATTAGATCTGTGCTGCTGGCAATTCAGAAGACAAAATCACTCAACTTCCAGCATGTCTTTGTGTATTCTGAGGGACTCAAGCTTGTGATGTGCTCTTGCTCATGTAGTTACCAAGAGTAGAACAACTTACCTGCCAAGTCTCCCAAAACTGGCTTCTGATCCACAGTTTCAGAAAATGAGGACAACAGAAGAGTAGATCTGCTGTAAAGATGCTTTGAAATCGTTCATTGTTAGTATGTCCTCTGTTACTTTAGATTAATTATCTTATACAGGTTCTGTAATACAGTTAGACGGTAGCAGTAGACAGTTTTTGTTTGCTCTGTAACTGATGTTGGAGGTTCTGAATGACAGTCTTTATATTCATCAGAATGAAAATGTAGATACTGTAGAACTTGGATTTCAGCAGTAACTTACACAGCTCTATGAGGTCCTAGCGGTATGGGCCTATATTTATACTGGGAGCATTTCATTCTTCTTGTGAAGAGGATAATTGTTTTATTTGGAAAGTTTGAGTAAATGTATTAACCTATTATTTTTTTTATTTGCAGTGCAATTAGTTCACACCTGCAGACCTGCGGTTGTTCTGTAGTTGTAGGAAGCAGTGCAGAAAAAGTTAATAAGGTAATGCACTTTCTCATAAACGAAACTTAAATGCTGATGATTAGGAATGTTAGTGTGTAATTTGGAAAAAGGTTTATCTATAAACATACTTGAGGTTGAAGAAGGAAGGAATACTGTTATCTGGTTATCTTACTTCGGCTGATTGGTCTAGCAGTTGATAATTCTGCCTGAAAACTGCCATATCCATTGTATTCTGACAATTGTAAGAAAACCAACGTATTGAATTTAATTGACACTGTATATAAACGAGTAGTAAATGAGTCTGAGCTTTTAAAATTAGGTTTGTTAGCTAAAATACACAAATTGAAGAGGTCTGAACTGCCTTACCCAGTTCAGCTCTGTCAATAGGTATTGTGGTAGTATCTCCATAATTTCTCTTACATTGGAGAATAAATGTACTTCTGCATCATGAACTGCTTGTGTTTCATGGAACCTCAAAGCTGTTGAGTCAGTAGGCACACGCACGTGTTGAAACAGGCAAGCTTACTAGGACTTTAAACTATTCCAGCAATTCCGGCATTTTTTTCTTCATAGCTGTGTTTGTATCATCTTCAGTCTGCCAATTAAAACTTAATTGGTAAATAACTGTAGAGTTTAACTGGTAGATCTTAAATTACGTTTGGCTCAGCTTTCCATGAAGAGGCAAAGTACAGATACAAACCCCTAAAACTGAGTCCTGTAACAACAGAACACTCAGTGTGTCATACTTGCTGCAGCACATCAGTAGGGATGATTTTTAGGAGCTTTCAGGTCTAGAAACAATAAGCAGCATTAGCTGTACCTCTTAACGGGGAAGAGTATACACATCATTATGGTCTATTTGGGAGGAAAAAAGGTCACTTTTGGAAACTGTCATTTCAGAACAAGAAAATAATGACATTTTTGTGGTAGACATTTTTTCCCATGGTGTTACTATTTTTAACTCTCTTGTAAGCTTCTTATGAAATATTTAATTTGAAGCAATATGAAGCTTACCACCTGCACTGCTTTTCCTCTGATACTTTGGTATAAATGGAGAGGTTTTTTATGCTTATTTTAAGCTTACCCAGTATGTGAAGGAATATTTGAATGAGGATGTCTTCATTATTCAGAATTCTCCGAGTGCTTTTTTTGTACACAGCTTTTTGATTATACCAAAATGCTAGTGTCAGATAAATTGGAAGAAATTCCTGGAAGAGATACGCTTCTGTTTACTGTCCCTTCAAATATTTCTGAAAGCATATTTCTTTTTAGCGTAGTGCAGTATATCAGCACTTATTCAGAGAGTTTCCCTTTGACTTGCATGTAATTAAGGTGTTACTCCATCACTTCTAATAAGTACACTGAAGTTAATTTTCCATTAAGATGCACAGAGACAAATTATGAAGAAAATGTTTGTTTGTGAGAAAATGTGTTTGGCTAAATTGCCTCTCTACGTTCATGGCTGAGACCTTTAATAAACCTCTTTGATTCAGAATATCCCTGCAACTGGAAATTAAAAGAAGAGTTGCGTAAAGTGTGTGCCATCCTAGAACCTTCAGGTATTAGGCACCACTGCACTTAGTATACTGATGCTGCTGTCAGGGCAAGGTTCTGTGTAGTTATATAGCATTATAAGTTTTCAATCTACACTGGGGCCTCTGGGCCATGCAATAACAATAGCCCCAATGTCCTGAGACCATGACAGAGGTCTAAGGTACATGTGGAGAAGCAGGATAATCAGATAACTTAATTGTCTGTTAGCGAATGTTTTTGTATATTGGGCTTTTCTGTCTGATTATGTTTTTAATTGTGATGTACTAACTATTGAGCTCTGGTTTATTTTGTAAGACTGAAACCTTCCTTTGAGGAAAAACTCATTTTAATCCTCAAAGTTGATACCCTTCTTGATATGTGAATGTCTGTATCTGTGTGTATTGCTTCAATGTTAAGTAAAAATTAAGAACAGTGAGCCTGATTAATATATTATGTTTTAATTGTAGACTATACATATTATATAATAAGTATTTTATAGTATGTGGGGCTTCTTGCTGCAGTGAAATATGCTGGCTTTCTTTTCAAAAAATTGAAGGCACATTTAGTAAACCTGTATTTTGAAATAAGCAGTTCATGATGCTTTATAAAAATCAAGGGAGGGGGAATGCATTGTTTGGCGTGTATTGGCAATGCTGGTAAAGCACCTAGGACAGTAAGTGTTGATACTCAAATTAAAAATAATCATGAGCAACAGGGAAACCAGAGAAAATAAAATTCTTGGTTCTTAGCTGAAATCATGTTAGCACAATTATGTTAGTAGTTATGAGGAGCGGCTGAGGGAGCTAGGGTTGTCTAGCCTGGAGAAAAGGAGACTGAGGGGAAACCTTATTGCCCTCCAGAACTACCTGAAAGGAGGCTGTAGTGAGGTGGTGGTCAGTCTCTTCACCCAAGTGACAAAAAAGAGGACAAGAGGAAATGGCCTCAAGTTGTGCCAGGGGAGGTTCAGATTGGATATTAGGAAGAATTTCTTCACCAAAATGGTTGTCAGGCACTGAAACAGGCTGCCCAGGAAAGTGGTGGAGTCACCATCCCTGGAGGCATTTAAAAGATGTGTAGATGTGGTGCTTAGGGACATGGTTTAACCGTGGACTTGGCAACACTAGGTTAATGGTTGGACTTGATGTTCTTAAGGGTCTTTACCAACCTAAACGATTTTATGATTCTGTAATGCATATTGTTTCAGGGATGTACATGTGCACATGATTAAGTTAGCATAATAGAGGAAATGTTAAAGGCTTATGTGGTTATAAAAAGCCTAAAGTTTATACTTCTTAAAATAATTAAAAGGCTTTGAGGTCTAAATTGTTCTGAGTATGTAAAATAATGAATTGATAAGCTAGACACTGCAGGAAAAAAACAATCTAGAAGAATGTGATAGATCCAGGATAAACTTCATAAATTCTGCACAGGTTCTTATCAGCAGTGTGCTCTTTGTGTCACGGTGGAAGTGTTCTGAAGTAATTGCTTTCTTTATGGCATACTTTAACATTCATTAAAGTAAAAAAACACATGTTGCATCTTGCTGAAGTGATGAAAAGGGTAAGTCAGAAAATAGTTTGTCATTGTTTTGGGTACTGCATAAACACATTGTGCCTTCTCAGACACAGATAGGACACCACAGGTTAAGACTGAAAGATTAGCAGAATGGAATACTGTGGTGGGTTGATCCTGGCCGGACGCCAGGTGCCCACCAAAGCTGGTCTGTCACTCCCCCCTCCTCAGCTGGACAGGGGAGAGAAAATACAACGAAAGTCTTGTGGGTCAAGACAAGGACAGGGAGAGATCACTCACCAGTTACTGTCACAGGCAAAACAGACTCAACTTGGGGAAAGTTAATTTAATTTATTACTAATCCAATCAGAGCAGGATAATGAAAAAATAAAAACTAAATCTTAAAACACCTTCCCCCCACCCCTGCCTTCTTCCCAGGCTTAACTTCACTCCTGATTTTCTCTTCTTCCTCCCCCCCCGAGCAGCACAGGGGGACAGGGAATGGGGGTTGTGGTCAGTCCATCGCCTCTTCTTTCTGCTGCTCCTTCCTCCTCAGGAGAAGGACTCCTCACCCTCTGCCCCTGCTCCAGCATGGAGTCCCTCCCATGGCAGACAGTCCTCCACAGACGTCTCCAACGTGAGTCCTTCCCTCCCACAGGCTGCAGTTCTTCACGAACAGCTCCAGCGTGGGTGCCTTCCCCCAGGTGCTGCCCTTCAGGCACAGACTGCACCAGCCTGGGTCCCCTGCGGGGTCACAAACCCGCCCAGCAAACCTGCTCCAGCCTGGGCTCTTCTCTCCATGGGGCCACAGGCTTTGCCAGGCGACTGCTCCAGAACGGGCTTCCCC